TTCTTGGGAGGTTGGGGGGCCAGGGGTTTGACCTGCGTTCTCCCCTCTCTTACAAATCCAAAGAGAGTTGTTGTTTTTTCAGTCTGTTTTCTTTTACTTGTTAGGACTAAGTGATGACTTCCAAGCTCCTTACATGCTGAACTGGAAGCAAAATCCTCTCCCTCTTTCTTCACATTTCTCAGCTACTCCTTGCTATGTATTGCGTCCTAACACAAATTTTCCTCCTTGCCTAGGACCATTGCTTGGATCCCCAATTCAAGATGTGGCAATTACTTTACATTCACTGATAATTCATCCTGGTACCTCCTCAACTATGATTTCTGCATGTGTCTCAAGATGTGTACAAAAGGTATGTAATTACCCTAATGCTTTTTGCTTCACAGTGACTCTCCTGCCAGCAGTGCACACTGAACCTTGGGCAGCTGTGCTTGTAGTGCCAACCTTGTGTCTTTGTTTCCTGAGCCTTGTAGTTAATGAGAGTTTTTACCACGGAGAATCTTTGATTTTTTAAAATCACCAGGGTTTTATTTGCAAGACGATCTAAGAACTGTTTAACACAGCTAGCTTGAAATATCTTCTGGTTTTGGCAAATAGACAAGTTTCCCTAGGTGGCAACTCTGCTTTCCCCATCCCAGACACGTAGTCATCACACTGTGAGATTTGTCTCAAGGTGCTTGCTTTGAAGGGGACTGGGGCATCATTGTCCTGTGTACAGTGTTTCTTGTATCTTGTATCTTCTTCAATAAATGTCTCTGTTTTTATAGTACATGGCCAGATACCTTCTGGACAAAACCCATATTTTGAAATTCATACTTTTAAAAAAGCTTCTGATTAAAAAAACTATACTTTCAAAAATAAAACGATTTGATATTGTTTACCTAAGCATATAGTTAGAAATATCACCTGTAGTCATGATTACAGTGTTAAAAAAACACTTACCTTCTTGTAATTTTTAAAGTTTCTCCTGAAATTGGTTTTAATGTTGAAGTAGCGGTAACCTGAAAGATGAGTAATCCCAAGCCCCAAGGTATTGGACAGTCCTTCAAAATCTAATATTTCTAAACCCTTCTAAAAATAAAATGCCAAGTATTTCAGAATTGGTCAGCCTTTTTATTAAGGCCATACTAGAAAACAATTAATTTTATAGGGCCTTTCAGTTAAAATTTAGTTTTAATTCATTATTTCAAATGAAATACTCCTAATGAAAGCACTCCAGCCGTTGTTAAGCTTTAGCTGGTGGGGGAGCTCTTTCCCTCTGCTTATGAGAAGTTAGTGATGCCTCACATATTTATTGAGCCATCATGTTGTGCTTACAGTGCACCGAAATGGACATATAGGATGCATATATTTTTCTTGACCATTAGGAGCTTTGGATTTAAAAGGGAATTAAATATAGCCAATAGCCAAAGTATTATGTAGAATGGGCTGAGAACCATAAAAGCTGAGAAGTGTGATTTGGGTAGGATTATTGGAAAGCAGTTAATATTTGAGCTGTGATGATTTGGAGCCTTTGGTCATGGTGGGGAGCAATCCAAACAGGGAGAAACTAAGGAGTCCCTTTAGCTGTAAGTATCAGATGAAGGCAGGAGAGTAGTGAAAAATAGTGTTGGAAAAGTAAAATAAAGTCAAACTGTAGAGAAACCTTTAAAAAGTATGTTTAGGCATTTGAGGTTTGTTTTGAGAACAGTGGTAAGTAGTTTTTGAAGAGGGCAGTATACTCATTAGCACCCAGGAGGAACTGGAGTAGGGAAGAGCTAGGTTAGGACAGGGAATGGACTGGGTCTGAACCAGGACCACAGGCATGGGAATGGGAGGGCAGCAGGAATGGAAGGCTCTCAGGTTACCTGGGGAAAGGGCAGTCAAAGATGCACGTCCAGCTGACGTGACGACGGGTGATGCCATCAGCCGGAATAGGGGAGAGCAGACAAGAGGGTTGGATAAGGAATTGATGGGCTTAGTTTGGGTTGTAGGGTATTGAGACACTGTCCCAAAGTAGGCCGGTGGAATACAAGGCGGGAACACTCAGAGACTGTGAGCTGGGTGAAGTTTAAAGTTTTTGAGGAAGCTGCGTGAAGACATCTTTGAAGCTCTGCAGTTAGGCAGTGTTGCCAAGGAAAAGATCATGAAGAGAAAAAGAGGACCAAGGACAAATCCATGGGCACAGTATGTCTTAAGTTACACAGAGCTCAATGCTTTCCTTAGTTGTAGCATTTTTCCTCTTAATTTTTACCTTTTTGCACTCCATTATTTTGTTCTAAAAGACATGTGAAATGGCACAAAGCTCTTGGTAAGAACTGACAAAATACAGGGGATATTTTTAGTAACATTTTCATTCAGAGACTATTAGATAACCTTTCCTATAGTTGTAATTTCAGTTGATAATGATTTTAAAGGCTTACTTAGCTGTGAAGAACTGAAGGATTGTTTTACTATGTGTGCTATTGTTTTATGTGTGAAATTTCTGTGACAAAGAGAATATACTCTTGGTTTTACTCATCTGTCCATTTTTCATGATTGTGGGGGTAAACAGGGAGGGGAGGTAGGAGGAGGAGTTGAGGTATCAGGGGCAGAAGGGTTAGAGACCCAGAAGCATTATTTGACAGCATGGGTGACACTAATGGCCCCATTGAAGGCCGTTAGTGATAATGAGGAGTGAGGGGTGGTGGGAGCAGAAGGAAAGATGATCAGCCAAACCCAGATAAAGGCGAAGGCACATTGCGGAGCCACGCTCTCGTGTTTATATGGTTCCCGTTGCTAATCCTAAATTTATTCCATCCGACCTGATAACTAAACAGGCTTAGTTTGTAGGGAATTGCTTTGTTCCTTTTGAAGCCTGGCAGGCTGGAGAAGTAGGATAGCTTTTTAAATCAAACTCACTGGTACTTGTGGTATCTGCAGACTCCATCTAAAGCCCCCTTACCAGGCTGTTTGATGTAATGATACCATTAAAGCTGATGTCTTACTGGTTTTTGTGCACTTCCTACTTGCCATATGCTGTTTTAGCTTTTTTCAATTTCCATATTCTTTTCTTTATGTGTTTGTTCTTCTTGGCCTTTGAAATCTAAAGATTTGAACAGATAATCTACAGGGGTGGGCAAAAGTAGGTTTATAGTTGTTCATACGGAAATTAACAAGCAATACAAGAATAAACTGTTTCACATAATCACAGCTATAAACTGACTTTAGCCAAACCCACGTTAAATGGAGGATGTGTTTCTACCACATTATTGTGTTAAATTTCTCTATTTTAAGGTCTCCTCTTTGTTTCCCTCTTTGATTGGATTGTAACTATAGGCATCAGGAACAAAATAGGACATTTAAATGTGAAGAAATGAGTCTTTGATTGAAGGCTTATTTTCTTTCCCTGTACCTCTGACCACATACACACAGGTGCTCTATATGATCTGGCTCTCCTAAGCACCCCCTTGCAGCATCCCATACAAGAGAGCTCATAGTGTTGTCACCCATGTACAAGTAAATATTGAAGGTTTTGACCACTTATAAAATGTTACCTTTTTAGAGAGAGTTAGAGTAGGCATATGTCTTTTTGCCAGAGTGCTAAGCTTAGGAATATGGGAAGTATTAATTTTTTATGAATTTAATAGAAATTTGATTTCCAATTTAGGGACGAAGGACTAACATTCTTTGATTTTTTGTAGGCTCTGAAGAAAGCTGATAAGCAAGTTTTAGAGCCCCTGATGAATCTCGAGGTTACAGTGACTAGAGACTATCTCAGCCCTGTCCTGGCAGATCTGGCACAAAGAAGAGGGAACATCCAGGAAATTCAGACTCGTCAGGACAACAGAGTTGTTATTGGATTTGTTCCCTTAGCAGAAATTATGGTAGGTAACTTGTGATTGAAAAGTGTGTATTCTTTTTTTTAATATGGGGGATATTTACACTAAGCAAAAACAAACCATCAGTAACATCTGAAAGAAACATCAGGGCTTTGAGTTGGAGGACGCATGTTAAACTCAGCCATTGGGAGCTGTGAGAACCCTGGATTTCAATGGTAGGGGAAACCCAGGGGACCGCAGCGGCCTGGAGGCCATTTCCCGGCCTCCACGAAGGGAGCGGTGGGCTGTGCCAGAGTGTGGACCAGCCTACCATTTTTCCCCTTCCAAGTTCTAACCCTATTTCTGTGATTGCCACTTCTCAGGCAATTGCCATTTTTCTCCCCAACAGCCTCTCTGCTCTAGAACAAGCACCTGAGTGCTGGCAGAGTCACCTTACCAGCCGCTGGGACCCGGGGACACATTTGAAGCATACCCACACTACTCTGCTTGGTGTCCTCCACAATATTTCTATATCACGCTTTTCCTGAGAAAAATGATTAAGTGACCCATTTGAAGAAATGATGTGGTTAAGTTACATAATCACCTTTCCTGGTAATGGCCAAAAGATAAACAGTAGGAAGAGAAACTTGAGGCTTAAATTGGATGAGATAACTGATCTAAATTATTTCGATTAGGGTTATTCAACTGTGCTTCGAACGCTAACATCGGGCTCAGCTACTTTTGCCTTAGAACTATCTAACTATCAAGCCATGAATCCTCAAGACCAGAGTACACTGCTCAACTGCAGAAGTGGCTTGACCTAAGTACTTTTGGGTCCTTGGAGAGAAATTCAGGAGCACCTGCCTATTTGTTATCAGTAAGAACAATTTTTATTGCTTTATTTACTGGACAAATAAATTACTGTTTGAGTACATTCAAGGGACTGAAAGATGTAACTTCAAACTGACAGTGGCACTGCAGCTGCCTATTCTACTTTACAGCATAAGAAACATGCTTTGACATTGAAAGGTAATGTGCCTGAACTATACGTGTATATATGAGGTCATTAATGCCAGTAAAGATGCAGCCCTTTGGAATATACGGAATGATATATTTTGTTGTTTATTTTTAAGATTTTCTCCCAGAAAGTTGCCAGTTTTCTATATGTAATGTGTAGGATAGAAATTCAATCAATACAAAGATATATTTATTCAAAAACAATATACCAAATCTTAATTTACATGATTTCAAAACCAAGTCGATGGCAGTATATTGCTGTGGGCTTTTCCCTTCTAGTTTCAGCTCACATTTCACAATAGCCAGTAAAAAGAGGCTCTGCAGCTATTCCACGTCTGTAGAAGATAAAGGATGAATAAAAGATTATTTTAGATTGCTATAACTCATCTCCATTTTAAAGAACGTAGGGGCTTAAATGAGAAGCACCAACCATAGCACTAATTACTGAAAAAAGACTGTTAAAGTGATGGAGGTCCAAGTCACACCCAAATTCAACATAGCTATAAAATGGTTTTAAGTCCAAATATATTTTCTCCTTATAGATATTCCTAATTTGTTCTAATTAAATCACTACTTCTTTGGTGACATACATTTCTATTTATAGCAAAAATACCCAAGAAGCTGGCTAACACTAAGGTTAAAAATCATCCTGGGCTTAGTAGTATCCTAGCTTGAAAAATAGTCTTACCTGACCATTCTGCAACGGTGAACTGTTAGTCTTTTGTAGGCATCATCTATATTTCTGATCTCTTTCTGACTCCAGAGTCTCTCACCAACAGCACTTGCCCGAGGCCTAAAATTTAAAGTACATGTTTCCCAAAGCAGTTTCCATTCATGTTTTCTTAAAGAAGTATCGAAATTATATGCTTGGGGAAATTCCCAATGCTTTCCGACTTGGATGGAAAAGGAAAACTAAGGCACCTTAATTCAAATGTCATGACATAAATTCCATACCATAATCTCGGAGTGAGGTTAGTGGCATCCACATATTCTCCCCATAGACAAGCTTCTCCACCAAGAACCAGTTGTTTCTGTTCCTGAGAACCTGCATTAAAATCATTGGATCGACATAAGTTAAGCAGTTGTGGTTTAAGTCTTATATACAGAGGCAGTACAGATTTCTCTTTCCATCTTTGTCCCAGGGCAACATTTTTTTTCCTGTAATCAGCAGGACTGTGGCAGATGTTCACAGTAGTGGCACTTTATTGTCAGCCGACCCTGTGTTTCACACAGGGCTTTTTAGTGTGTGCCAGTATTAAGATACTGATTTACAAACTTATTTGATCACCAGAAACATTTTTTCTCCTGTGAATAGTGTGCCAAAGAATAAAAGTTGGAATGCTAGTGACTACCAATATCTATCTCTTGGTAGTAAAAAAGAAACTAAGCACCTAATACTTTGTTTTATAGTAATTAAGACTTTGATTCTCAGGAAATACTTTCCAGAGAAAGTTATGTTAATTCCTAATAGACCTACAGTTTTGAATTTTTTTTAAAACAGCAAAAATCCTGTTTCTCAAAAGAAATTTTATATTAAAGTCTAGTTTACAAAACAGGACAGAGTAGAACTGTCCTTAGCAAAGGGGATCTGAGAGCTGGAAGCTCCCTCCATGCCTACGCCTGCGAACCTTAAGACTACGCAGCCTGGAATCCACTGAGCTAGACTGTATGTAGCCTTGCTTAGGTATCTTACATTGGAGAGGCTGTTCAGAAGAGGAGATACAAGGTTAATGCCATCAAACATCTTTAAAATGCAGAGAGTAACAAGACTCACCCATAAAAATTGAGATAAAATCTAAGGGGATCTACTTTTCAAGTTCTTTTATTTAGATAAGGATTTGGTTTCTTTCACAAAGTTTCAAATGATACCGAGGCCCTTCTTTTTAAGTAAACACAAATAAAATCAAGGATTATACATAAAAGGGAGACTAGTTAGTAGGTAACATCTAGGTGAGGATTTCCTGGTGGGAGGGTAGGGAAGAAAATCAGGGTAACTGATGGTCGCTTCACTTACCAGGAAAATCAAGAGGTTCTGCTTCATAGTATTTTATCCAATCCTGTCCATAACTTATCCAGTCTAAGTACCACGGAGCAGAGAGGATCACAGGGAAGCCAGATGCTGTGACTGCATTTAGTTCATTAGTATACCTTTCCTGTTTCCATACTTGGACGACAGTGCCTTGCTGAAGCTATTAAAGTGAAAAGTTGCAATATAATTAGGTCTACCAAATACAATAGATGAAATTTAAAGTCCAAGACATAACTAGAAGAATAACTTTAAGATCCTTGAGAAAACATGCATCATCTTCTTTCTCCTTTCCCCTCAGTGTTAGTGCCAAATGCTGTTCCTTATAGACTTAAAATTAGAAGCTGCATCAACATTAAGGTTGGATATTTAACTTTTGCCTATTTATGACATGATGCAGGTGTAATGAACCAAGGCTTTAGCCCCATTTCTACCACACTGCTGTTTTACATACTCTGAAACTGTGAGGATGTCACCAGCTCTTCTGGAAAGGGCATACTAATAGCTGGACTTGCAAATTCTCAGTTGCCCCAAAGAAAAATAAAGAATTCTGACTATGTTAGAGAGAGATGAGAGATGTCATTTAAAGTAAAAAGTGTACATTGATAATTTCACTTAACACTACCTTACTAGCAATAAAGACTCATTTGTTCTTATCTATTTGGTCCTTTCCTGAAAAAAGAACTTGCTTCAAAGTCAACTTGTGATTAATGAGATAGAAGGAGAGTGATGAGGAGGAGGCACTAAAGAGTGAGGTTAATGGAAGAAAAGACACAAATACCATTAACACTAGTCTCAGACCACAGCTATTGCCTAATAAAAGATTAAATGGAAAAGGAAGCTAATTCCCCTGAAGTGTTAGGGAATGATTTCTAAGGGTTGCATCCAAGGTGTTAGAATATTAAGCCTCTTAAGGTATCAGCATCAAATGCAGTCTTCATACTTCTCACCTTTGCTTGTTCATCAAAAACCTCTTGCCAGACTATGGATCCTTTCTTTAGAGTTGAAATAATATCCAAAAGCCTACCATTGAAAAAAAATTTTAAGTTATTTTGAATCACAAGGTTAACAGTCTGCAAATGTTCCACCAAGGACTTCCAACATTTATAAGTACCTTTCAGTATAGCACAGCTTTATAACCGAACCAGCTAAATGTGGGTGGTAAGCCATGTGGCTCCTTCTTTATAGGACATGGCTCAGAAGCTGACCCAGCAGAGGGGTTTAATAGTCATTTGCTGAATGAATGAGCCTTTAAGCATGCCCCCAAAACACGAAGACACAGAAAGTCATAGGGAAGTGTACAAACAGCAATCTCTAGTAATTTTATGGGTATCTTAGAATAAAAGAAACTATAATCTGGCTCATAATGTCACCTAAATAACATTCAACAGTTGCTGACAGTCAGTCACAAGTTATTTCCTGATGTTTGGACAATGCCAGGTACTCTGCAGGATAAAAAAAATTAGAATGTATCACGTGACAAGCTAAACAGGCAAATGCCGGAATCTGGGCTTGCCCAGTGCAGGGTTAGGCAAACCACAGCCTTACAGCCTGTTTTTTGTATGGCTCATGAGTCAAGAATGGTTTTTACACTTTGTAAAGTGTTGTTTAAAAAATAAAAATATGCAACCAGATGTGGCCCACAAAGCCTTAAACATTTACTATCTGGCCTTAACAGAAAAAAGTATACTGGTCCCTAGTATACAGCAGCACGGCCCAGTAGAACTTTATGAGTGATGGAAATGCTTTATACACGTACTTTCCAATTTGGGAGCTTCTCACTAATGTCATCCAGCTGCTGAACACTTGCAATGTGGCTAATGTGAGCAAGAAACTGAATCTTTAATTTCCTTTAATTTAAATGCAAACAGCCACAGGTGTCTATGGCTATCATACTGGTCAGTATAGGCACAAAGTTAAAAAAAAAAAAAATGCTCCTGGAGTTGACACAAGGGAATGAATTATAGGGGCTGGATGGTGATGAAGACTTCGTAGTGTAGCCAGGCTTTCAGCTGAGTTCTTAGAACATGTGACTGCTGTCCTATATTTCAACAATTACTTATTGCAAAAGGCTTAGAGTTACCCTGTTACTGTTTCAAAGAAAGCAGCGGATATTGCTTCCTTTTATATGATTTTTCATACAAAGTATACAAGATCTAAACTTTGGTGGGAGGGGGATGAAAAAATAAAATAGTACTAGTAATAGCTAAAACTGTTATGAAAACCATTGATGAAATAAAAACACAAGTAGCCTTTAATGTAACTTACTTTTGAATATAGAAAGATTGTAGTTTTCTAAAATCTTTGCCATAGCCTGCCTGCTTCATGAAATTCTGGATATCTGGATTGGACTCCCTTAAAAAAAAAGGTTAAAATTTCATTAAAAGTTTGATATGCGTAATCTATTTAAAACAGCTTACATCCTTAAAATCATTTGTGCTTAAAACTATTAAAGTTGCTGCGAGTAAAATTTAGTTATGAGTTATCTTTGTGTTCCATTGCAGACAGTTTTTTCCAGAAGCAGATTTCTTATAAAAATGGCTTTCCCTACCTCCTGCCTCTCTTCTTGACATAAGGCTATTTGCAAAGATTTTTTTTTTTTATTTGAGAAATCTCCCCCATTTACTCACTGCCCTCTTTCACTAAAGCTATTCTCATTCACTATTTTCAAGATTTTATTTATTTTTATAAAGAGGGGAAGGGAGGGAGACAGAGAGGGAGAGAAACATCAATGTGTGGTTGCCTCTCACGTGCCCCCATGCGCCCCGACTGGGAATAGAACTGGCCACGCTTTGGTTTGCAGGCTGGCACTCAATCCACTGAACCACGCCAGCCAGGGCTATTGTCTTTTTTCTTTTTTTTTTAATCTCCATTTTCTTCTGCATCTTGATTCTCCTTCCTAAAAGCTTTTACTTTCTTATACCACCTCAAATCCACCACCACAGGAGTTGCATTGCCAAGTTAAAACCGTGCAAGCAGAGGTATTACCCTAAATCTTCCCTTTTCATGTGAAGACCTTTAAACCTACTTCAAATGCAATGGTTAAAGAAAATAAGGGTTTTTAAATAACTGTCATACCAACAAGCAAATTCCACTTCATCTCCTCCCAAATGAATGAACCAATCTGGAAATACTGAACTAATTTCTTTGAAAAATTTAGACAGGAAGCTGTAAGTTGTATTCAAAATAGGGTTTATAGGTCCAAAAGCCGCAGGGTGATGTGGACTGTAACATGGAGTTAGGAGATCCTTCTGACCTGGAGGAAAACATGAAGATTGTTTTCTTAAAAAGTATTTTAATCACAGAGACATGGCTTAGCACCTGATTATACTATTTTATTTTGTTGAAGCTATAAGAGATTTTATACAGAAAAAGATAAGCATTTTTATTAAAAGTTACTATGGTTATTTCTTCCAATTAAGATGAGGGAAAATTGTTTCCTGAACCCTACCCCTGTGTACCTCTGTTTCCCTTTCCATCAGCTGCTGTGAGATTTTAGTCACTTCAAGTATTATCTTAAATATTAATGACTTCCAAATCTTCAGCTTGCCCCAACCCTTTTTTCTTGAACTTCAATCCACATTCCAGATTCCCTGCTGAACACAACTGCACATTTTATCTGCACTTCAAATACAATCTAACAAAACCGAAATGTTCTGTTCCCTAAGCTCCTTCTGTAGCCTCTCCTGGTTCTGTATTCTGGTAAGGGTACCACCGTCCTCTTTGTCTGTAGCTTTTTCCTCTTCTCCTGAAGTCCATCAGTTGCCAAGTTCTATGTATTATATTTCCAAGATGTCTCTCAGTTCTCTACATTATTTCCTACTTCTGCCGTCACCAGTCTGACCCAGGACTTCAATTTCTTTTTCCTTCCATTGTGTCATGTTCGGTTTTCCTGAAGTGTGGCTCCCTCATGTCACTCTTCTGCTCTGTAACGTTCACTGGTTTCTGTGTCCTGACGAAGCCCACATTCCTCCTTCAAGGCCCTCTGCACTGTACTTTCCAAGCTTATTCCCCACTACTCTCCGTGTTTACCATAAAAATACTTATTGAACAATTATAAATGTTAGCTGATATGCTGTGTGCTTTACTTTCATTATCTAATCCTCAAAAAAACAAACAAACAATTTGATAGCTACTGCTAACATAACCCATTTCAGAGATAGGGAAACTGAGGATGAGATGTTCTATAACTTGCCCAAGGTCACTCAGTTTATAAATGGCAGAAGCAGGATTCAAATCTAGGCAGCCTGGCTCTAGAGCCGGTTCTTAATCACCCTGTAGTACAAATCCCTCCTGCTCTGCCTCGCTGTCCTCCAGCTGATGCCTTCCCCCCCGTTATTCCCTCTACCAGAAACATAACTCATTTTTGGATCTCTGAAAAGCATTTTAAGTGTTAATCTCATAAAACCATTTCTTGAATTCACTTATTATGTTCTATCTGTTGTAGTCATTTTTTCTTTCCTTTCTCCCTTGTTTTTGTCTTTTAGGCAGTGCCTAGACACAGTGACTTGCTCACAACAGACACATAATAGTTATTGAATTATATCTGTCAATAGTGCTACCTTTGTGTAAATCACAACTAAGAATAAAATGAGCAAACACCAAATCATAAAATAGGAGGTGCAGAACCTCAAATGTTCACTCTTTGCAATTCACAAAACACTTACCTTTTCCCCAAGACTGCGTATGTCCAGGGGTATCAAATTCTGGTATGACTCGGATGCCCCATAATCGGGCATATTCAATCACCATACGGACTTCATTTGGTGTATAAACATGAGACCAAGAATAGCTTCCCTGTAAAAGCCACACTGATTAACATTAAAATGTACAAAATGGATTTGGTCCTGAAAACTGTTAACAGTTCTGTTTGCAGTTTGGTATTTCATAGCTGACTTTTCCAATATCACAATGTACTAAGTAGTTCCATGTGATGTTGGATAATTGATTTAAATTGCCATATCTTATCCGTAAGTTCCAAGCACACTTTAATTCCACATTTACTGATAGAACTGTCTATATAAACCAACCCCTCTCATTTCAGGAATGTTTATCATCATGCTGCTTCAGCCTCATATAACCATACAACGAAACAAATAAAATGTTTGACTCCAAAGTGAAACCTCTGAAAACTGAATATTAGAATCAAAATTCACAGATTACTACAAAGCACAGCTATTGTCTTTCAAAATCACTTTAATTACTATCAGCTTGAGAAATTCCCCCTAAGACATTCTGGTAAGTGACAAGATATTGTTTTAAGGTTACCCTCAGTCCCTTTATAAGTCACTTGAAAAATCAGAACTCAATATTGATTGTAACTAAAGATGAAAGTCCATTAAAGGTATTACGGTAGTACATTTCTCAAGGTATAAATATATATATGTATATATACATATATACATGCGTATACATGTATACATGTATGTATATATGTATAAATACTCATGGGTGGGCACCTAAAGTCAAAAGAGAGTTAGTAGACATAGGAACTGACCACAAGTATGGACCTTACTTGCACCCCAATGGAAAAAAAAATTCTTTTAAAGAAAAAGTCCTTGGGGAAATGTAAATAATGGTTGGCTATCTGAGTTTTTGTTAATTTTTTAGCTGCAATAATGTTTTGTTTTTTAAGTAGGCCTTTTCACAAATGAGATATGACATCTTGAATTTGCTTCAAAGTAATGGTGGGAGGAAGAATAGGTGATAGAAGATTGACCATGTACTGGCCATTGCAGCTGGGTGATGAGGACATGGAAATCCGTTAAATTAATCTACTTCTGTATATGTTTAAAATTTTCCATAATAAAAAGTAAAACAAAAGCAAACACAAACAGCAGCACTACTAGCATTTCAGCCTATGCTACGTTATAGCATTGGAGAAAGCTTTGGAATTACGGCCAGAGAATGAAAATTTGAGTCCTGGCCCCACCCTTTTCTAACTGCAACTATGGACAAAGTGTACAGCTTCTGAGTTACTGTCTCTGTATTGTAGGGGGATTAAAGTAGATGACATTGAGGCTCACTCCCAGCTCCACTGGCCTATCATACAATCAATTTGAACATTCCTGAGTCTACCATTATTTTCTAAGGAGCTCTCATTTCTAAAATTTCGTACTTCATGTAGTTTTTCAAATAGAAAAAGAAATAGTCATTTACAGAATTCAAAATAATTGTTTAATGCAAATATACAGTTGGACTACTTGAGAAATATAATTACTTAACCTTATTAGTAATCATGAAGGCATCAGGTCTCCTACATTCATTAAGGTTTTAAAATTTTATTTATATAGCCCCTAGAGATTGTTTGTATTTATGATAACATTTATAAAAACAGAACAGTTTTATGGATCTAAAATGCTAAGCTACAGCCTATTTAAAAAATAAACCATTTAAAACCACAAATATCTAACTTTTACACTTTACCATAAGAAGAAACATTAAAGCTACAAATTTCTAATGAAACTACCAATAATTTTAGTAGGCACACTACAACCTGGATTACTCACTTTATTGCTTAATTCTGGGAAAGTGATGCTCTGATAAGGGAAAGACTGGTCATCAACTATGTGCCAGTGGAGAACATTAAACTTATTAAAAGCCATGGCGTCCTGCAAAAAAACATGTTAAAAAGTTATATACCACTGGTAACACACAATCCAATTCACATATCTCCACTCAGGATTGTTTCCAATGTGTGTGATTCCTTTTACATATTTCAGAGAAGAATGTGGAAGAAGTTTTAGTCTATACCTTATGTACCTTACATGGCATGTCACTTTTCAAAAAACCTCTACAGAATTTGTATTCATATTAAACAGTAAGCTATAACTTTGCACTCTGGGAAGGGAACAAGCTTATAAAGTCCCAGTAAGTATACAGGGGTCCGCCAAGAATGGAAAATACCTCCTGGCTGCTACTACTATGTTTGGAAATGGAACAGAGGAAAAATGAGGACCTCATTTAAGTACCAGGGTTTATAATTCCCACAATTCTGAGATTTGATTGCCAACCCATCCTATCCTTAGAAATAAAAGAAATATGGTACAAACACAGTACAATTCCAATCAAAATTCTCAGAAGTTTTTGGGGAAATTGGCATGTTTACTCTGGAGGAATTAGCAATACAATGTTTACATAAAATAGAAGTGAATTATTCAAAAAAGAAAAAATAATAAGGGGGAAAATTTGCCCTACAAGCTAATCAAAACTTAAAAGCCTCCCTTCTCCTTCATCAGGGCTAAAGGGCTGATGCATGTGGGAAATGGCTTACACACAAGGGAACTGCTCAAAGAAATAAGGACATGGGGAGTAACGGCAGAATTTGCATTGTGGGAGAAGCGCGTTTCTCTTGGCTTTTTACCAGGAGATGGCAAAGGACTTAGATAATAAATATCTTTATTTTGGAGCCTTACAGTTTTCACAACTGATCCTGCAGTTGTAAAAGCAAGACAATATGTAAACAGATGGACATGGCTATATTCCAGTAAAACTTCATTTGCAAAAATGGGTGACAAGCTGGGTTTGGTCCTCGGACTGTAGTTTGTCAACCTCTGTACTGTAGTTACTAAGATAAGTGCAGTTGTTTTAGGAAATCCAAAAAGAAATACTAAGGGGTATTGGAGCATGTTATTTGCAATTTGCATATGGTTTAAGAAAAATATGTTTAAATAGAGAGGAAGAATGAGGCAAATAAGACAAAATTTTTAAATTGAGTTATTTGGGTAAACGGTATATGGGAATCCTTTGTACTTCCCTTAAAACTTTTCTGTAAGTTTGAATTACTGCAAAATAAAAAGAGAAAAGGTCTTCTAAAGTTACAGAAATTAAAACCATCTATAGTGGCCCAAGAAGATAAACTGTTCAATAGGCCAGAGTTCAGAAACTGATTTGTGTATTTATGGAATTTAGTATTTGCTAGTTATGATACTGAAAGCAGTGGGGAAATTATAGATTACTCAAAAATGATATTTTTGGACTACATGCTAAACACTGGGAAAAAATAAAATTACAATAATCACCTATAATACACTAAATTCTACCAGAATCAAGAATTTAATAATAAAAATACGTATTAAAAGAAAACTTGAGAGGCTATTTTTATATTTATACCCTTGTTTTAGAGGCTTTTCGTAACATACCTCCCAAGGTCAAAAACAATAAAGGACAAGATTGAAAGATAATCATACTTTCTAAAAAGTTAAAACTTTGCCCTGGCTGGTGTGGCTCAGTGGGCTGAGTGCCAGCCTGTGAACCAAAGGGTCAGTGGTTCAGTTCCCAGTCAGGCACATGCCTGGGTTGCAGGCCAGGTCCCCAGTAGAGGGTGCGTGAGACGCACCACACGTTGATGTTTCTGTCCTCTTTCTCCCTCCGTTCCCCTCTTTCTAAAAATAAATAAATAAAATCTTTTAAAAAAATTAAAATTTCTACAGGCAAAAGACACTCTATTATAAACATGGTTTAAAAACCAAATTTAGAAAACTTCACAACAATATGTGATGGATAAGAATATCATATAAATATAAGCAAATATAAAATTATCACTGACACATCTATAAACAAATATAACATTAAAGAGCTCTTAAATCAACAAGGATGAAAATGTTCTCAAAGACAAAATGGACATTGAAAATAAACTTGTAGTTTGCAATGCAAAAAATACAAATAGCTAATACGTAAAAGATTTTTTATTCACTAAAAATCAAAGCAGTGCAAATTAAAACAAGGAAATACTTTTATCACCAGATTAGCAATGAATGGCAAAAATGTGTACCACTGTTGGCTGAGCATGCGCGGTATGATGTCTTTAGAAGGCCATCTGACAGTCCGTATGAAAAGATAAAAAGTACACATCTGTCAGTCCAGACATTCTCTATTAAGAATTTATCCTCAGGAAATAATCCTGACCAGTATGCAAATATAAAAATATTTACAGTGCTGTGTGTGATAATAGTACATTAACCTCGATGTCCATCAGCAGGAGACTAGTTAAATACATATCACGGTAGATAAAAAAGAATATTCACCTGTTGAAAAAGATGGTATAGACTTCATCTGTTGTCATAAAGATGTTCATAACAGTCTATTTTAAAGGTAGCAAAGTGCAATCCCATTTAAATTTTTTAAAAAGTCATTATTTGTGAATATATTTTTTTAAGTCTAAATGAGATAAATGGAACATAAAAACTTGTATTTATCTTTGGTAAATTATGGGATCAGCACCTATTTTATTAATATCTACATTGTGTGAAGTTTTTACACTAAACATTTATTTTTCATAAAAGTGACAGTAAAGTCTTTTGGAGAAAAAAATAGGGTATTAATGTAAGTGTAAAAGTTTTTTTATAACATGGTGTGTCTGTAAAAGCCCAAGTGAAAGTGCAGAAAAACATGGGAGGAAAACCTCCCCACTGCCACAAATTGACAGTGATGATGGGGACGAACCAATAAAAAGTCAAAAGGAGAAAACAGTTATCGTCAGCCTGGCACCTAGCTCTTCCCACGTGAGGTGACATATATCTTTGGAACATTGCCTTGGTATAAAGCAGCTCCCAGACTCTGCCACTATAAAGAATGTAGGTGGACGTCACAAAATTAAAGGACATTAACTAGTGGTACAGTGACCACATATTCCTAACCAAAAACCTAGACTCATGACTTGACAAATAGAAGTATACAAAGAGGGCCAATAGGAAGTATTAAAACAGTCTTTCTCTTAATCCTGGCTAAACTTGTTGAGTCCCCCTACTCTTCCCACTACCCCCCATGAAAATAACTGGGTGATTACCTACAGGAGCCTCTACTTCTCAGCTGAGGAAATAAACTTCACAAGGGAGAGAGGAAAGAAAGCCCAGGGTTTATACTTGGTACATGAAAAATGAATCCCCTGTTTCAACCTGTATAATAGCATAAGTAACCAATGTAAAAAAACAATGTAATAGGACACATCTTTAGGATATACAATGAATTAAAATAAAATAATTACCTACCAGAGTTTTAAGAATAGCCTTAACTGGCAGATAGTGTCTGGCTGTATCAATTAAAATTCCTCTATGAGGAAACCTTGGAGAATCACTAATGGTGGATTCATTGATGATGAACTATAAAGACAAAATAAATTTTGATTTATTTTTAAAACTTTCTCTTGAGCTCAATGAAAACCATATCTATCTATGCAAGTATTAGAGTAAAAAAAGACTGAGAACATAAAAAAGTGTGAAATTTACATTTACCATCTAAGATAACTATTTGGGGAGAAGAAACCTTCAGAAAGCAATAGACAGCTACAAAACTTGCATTTTTCTTGTAGTAATATGTCTATCCAAAAATGTTAGGAACATATGATAATCATACTTACAGCCCCATAAGGGTCATGGTAAATTAGCTGGCTGAAGGTCTCTAAACCTAGGGAAAGTAAAACGTGTAATTTATTGCATATTTTATAAAATAAATTGAAACAATAAAAGCTATATTATCCAAACAGAACCATAACCAGGTAAGGCAAATAAAATTAAACTTAGTGTTATATCTTTACCCTCTAACATATTTTCTTAAACTAAAGCTCAGTTTTAAAAAAATCCCTGTTGCTACTAACAAAAATGCTTTACTTCATTGTTCCCATAGCCTATGTTTTGTTTGAATGATAAACATAAAAAAGAATAGTGATTTAGTAAAACACCAGTTCCTAATAAATTTATAGCATTATGAGTAAGACTTATGATAAAATATCATAGAAACTTTAGAAGGCACCTGAACTTAAAGAAGGCAAAAAGGCTCAAAAAACTGCCATGAAACTATAAAGAAAGGCCCCATTTACAATGTTTTACTTACAGCCACAAAGACTATCTCCTGAACATTTTTCTACTCAAGTGATTGTTCCCTTAAGACAATATATTACAGGACAATTCCTTTAACTGGCCTTGAGTTTACTAAAATTTATCATTCTAGCTAACAACTATATAGCCAGGGAAAAGTTTAACCTAAAAATAGTTCTAAGTTAGAAATAAGAGAGGGGAGATGCTAAAACTAATATCATAAGAGACTACTATGAACAATTATATGCCAACAAATTTGACAACTTAGATGAAATGGATAAATTCATAGAAACGTGCAACTTACCATGACCAGAATAATGAAGAAAAAGAAAATTTGAACAGACTGATTTTACTAGGAAGGGGAGAATGTATCAATAATCAAAACCTCTCAACAAACAAACGTCTAGGACGAGAAGCCTTCACTGGTGAATTCTACCGAACATTTAAAGAAAAATTAATGCTGCTCATTCTCAAATCTCCCACAAAATAGAAGAGGAGGAAACACTTCCAAACTCATTTTACAAGGCCAGCATTACCCTGATACCAAAATCAGACAAGGACACAAAGAAAGAATATTACACCCCAATGTCCCTGATGAACACAAATGCAAAAATCCTCAACCAAACTCTCAAATATTAGCAAACCAAATTCCATAATACATTAAAAGGGTTATAAGCATGATCAAGTGGAAGTTATTCCAGAAATGCACGGATGGTTCAACATCCATAAATCAATCGTGTGACACATCCCATAACAAAACGAAGGATAAACATCATGATTGTCTCAATAGAACCCAAAGAGCATTTGAAAAAAATTAAACATCCACTTATGACAAATTCAGTAAAATTAGGGGATACAAAATCTATGTACAAAAATATGTTTAATTTCTACACATGAATGACCAATTGTCAGAGAAATTAAGAAAACAGTCCCAGCAAGAAGAATAAAATACTGAAGAATAAGCTTAACCAAGGAGTTGAAAGACTTCTACACTGAAAATTTTAAGATATCGATGAAAGAAATTGAAAAAAAAACAAAAATGGAAAGATTCCATGCTCATCAATTGAAAGAATTAATATTATTAAAATGTTTAATCTTCCCAAAGCCATCTACATACTCAGTGCAATCCCTATCAAAATCCCCATAGCATTTTTCACAGAAATAGAACAAACAATCCTAAAACTTTTATGCAACCAAAAAACACCTCAAATAGCCAAAGCAATCTTGAGAAAGACAAACAAGGCATCACACTCTCTAACTTTATACTATTACAAAGCTATTTTCACCAAAACAGTATGGTATTAGCATAAAAACAGAGGCATAGATCAATGGAACAGAATAGAGAGCCCAGAAATAAATCCACACATATATAGGCAATTAATTTACAGCAAAGGAGCTAAGAATACACAATGGGAAAAGGACACCCTCTTCAGTAAGGGGTGCTGGGAAAAGAGGAAAGTAACATGCAAAAAAATGACACTGGACCACTATCTAATACCACACGCAAAGTTTATTCAAAGTGGATTTAAGGCCCGAACAAAAGACCTGCAACCATAAAACTCCTAGAAGAAAACAGGCAGGTACACTCCTTGACATGGGTCTTGGTGATGATTTTTTTGGATTTGAAACCAAAAGCAAAGACAACGAAAGCACAAACAACAAATGGAACTAAATCAAATTAAAAAGCTTCAGAACAGACCTCCCCAAAATGTGTCACTTCGGCATGTGAATTATTTTGAGCTGAAGACAATCAAAACCCCACAGGCCCATGAGAAACCTTTCTCTCTCCCTTAAAGAATTTAAATTAGGCACTTTTTTGTCTATAAGAGTTTTCACCAAAAAGAACTTTCTTTTTGACATATTCAGTGCAATCCATTGAATATGTCATATTCAATATGGCAGGGGAAATGCAATTACTGAACATTTATCCCTATTGCTCTGCAATGACCTTCCTCACCTCTGAAGCCCCAAGACACCTTAGCTCAGAAAGCCATATATACCTCATTTTCCCTATCTTTAAACCTCTCATGCATGTGGGATCTGACTCTCTCATATATTTTGGCTTCCAATGAATACATACGTAATTAAGTTTGGTTATTTTCTCTTGTTAATCTGTCTCATGTTGATTTAATTTTTATATCAGCTGAAAGAAACTAGAAGAATAAATTTTATTCCTTCCCACACAAAACCATCAACAGAATGAAAAGGCAACTTACCAAATGGGAGAAAATATTTGCAAATCATATATCTGCTAAGTGGTTAATATACAAAACATATAAAGAACACAGCTCAATGGCAAAAAAATAAAAGTCTGATTAAAAAATGGGCAGCTGATCTGAATAGACTTTAAAAAAAAAAAAGACATACAGATGGGCAACAAGTACATTAAAAGGTACTCAACATTAATCACTAGGGAGATATAAACCAAAACCACCATGAGATATCACCTTATAACAGTTAGAATGGCTGTTACCAAAAAGAAAAAAAAATGTTGGCAAGAATGTGGAATAAAGGGAATCCTTCTGCATTCTTGGTGGGCATATAAATTGGGGCAGCCACCATGAAAACAGGATGGATGTTCCTCAAATTAAAAATAGAATGACCATATGATCTGGCAATTCTACATCTGGGTATTTATCTGAAGAAAATGAAAACTCTAGCTCAAAAAGTTCTCTCTCCCACCCTGTTGTGTATAGCAGCATTACTTATAATAGCCAAGCTATAGAAACAACCTCTCCATCATTGGATAAATGGACAAAATGTCACACACACACAGGAATATTATTCAGCCATGAAGAAAAAAAAAGTCTTGCCATTTGTGACAATGGATAGACTTTTAGGGCATTATGCTAAGTGAAATAAGTCAGACAGAGATAAATAATTATATCTCACTTAGATGTGGAATCTTAAACAAAACTGAGCTCATAGGTAGAAAGGACAGGCTGGTAGCTGCCAGAGGCAGAGAGAGGGGGTGAAATGGGAAAAGGGGTCAAAAGGTACAATCTTCCAGTTGTAAAATAAATTAAGTTCCTGGGGATATAATGTATAATACTGTGTTGCATATTTGAAAGTTGCTAAGAGAGTAGATCTTAAAAGTTTTCATAATGAAAAAAAATTTTTTTGTAATTAAGGTGGTGGATGTTAACTAGACATTAATGTGATCATTTCACAAAATATACAAATATTGAATCATTATGTTTTACACCTAAAGTTAATATGATGTTATGTATCAATTATACCTCCAAAAAATAGGAAAGAAAACAAGAAATTCAGTCATTTTCTTTTCATTGCTATTCCTTCCCTCTCAAATACAGGATCATATAGGAAAGAAAAACTTTGGAATGTTCTGGTTAAGTGGCAATACACTCAATTACCATTGAAAGGATGTTACTTTGAACGTCTAATGGTAACAGCAAATTAGGACTTGGGCTAAAATCTAGTCACTGAATGTTCTCAAAAGTTCTTTACTTTGATGTGGATTAGTACAAAACATCAATAAAGCTCCATTTTCCCTAACGTACTCTGTGCAAAACAGGCAAGTCAGACTAATATATATATATACTTAAAACCACATGACATTACATATAAATGATTTAGAGGTTAATGATTGCAGTTACATTGATAGTTTCATGTTCTATTTTGAAATAAGATTATAATCATGCCATTTTTATTATGACTATAAAACATGATTACTGTATTTGAGAAAATGCTCAACCTGAGTCAAACCCAAAGCTGGCTTTTCTTTTTAACTACAGTACTATAGTTTTGGTTGGTCAGCTCACATTGAAGAAAATTATCCTTTTTTAAAACCCTACTATTTGGAAGTCAGTACCACAATATCTTATGTACTGAGAAGAGGTAAAAGAAGCTTTTGTACAGCAAAAGTGAGTGACCCAAAGCCCAAACTTTGAAGTCCAGGCTGTAAAATTCACAGGAAAAGCCACTGCTTACAGAGTGTTCCAGCCACTCTTTATCTTTTCATACTGTTCCTTTAAACTCAGTTATGTTTCTAAATCCATAGGAATTTAAAATAGGGGAAGGGGTCTCTTTCTCTGTCATCATGGTGGAACTGTTGACTCTTCCTTACTGTGTTTTCTCACCAAGAAGAAAGGCAGAATTGTCCCATTCCCCAGGGCATTCACATGAAAACTGGGAATAAGACCAGGTAGGACTTCCCAGGAAGAGGCACTGGAGAGTAACCAAGCGGAGTCTCCATGGAATCTCACATGCAGTGGCACATGGATTTATGCTGTGTCAAGCTTATTAGCATCTTACCGCGTCAAGCTGAAAACATCGCCACTATATGAACAGTTGGACATGGGTATTTTTGGGGAAATGGTTTTTCTCTTTGTTTGCTACTGCATGGGTAGGTTAGTTCAGTAATAAATTGGGAGAACTTTTTGTTTTAATAAACAACCAAAAATAAATAAATAAATAAAATGGCGGGGGAGGTGCTTGGCATTGAAGGCAGCAAGAAGCAACAGTGAAACAAAATTCCCTAATCAGAGCAGGTTAGGGCCATTTATAACTGGAATGTCAGTTCCAAGAGCATCAGTTAATTACAGCACTGAATGTAACAGCCCTCAAGCATTTCTAAAAGGTCAACTGGAAATCATTTTGGAAATGCCCAACAAACCATCCTGTAAAGCGTTTTAAGGAAGCAAAGATTTGCTGTGCTTGATTTCTCAAAGCAGCAACGGAAAATATTTCTTTACTAGAAAATAGCAATAAAACTACATATACCTTACCTCGTAATACTCCCCAGACTCTGTTGGCCTTGAGGAAAGCCACTGGTCCTTTCACAAGTAAAGTATCTGTATTGGAAAAAAAAAAGTTTACTAATCCCTCAATGGCACACAATACATGTCCTAAACATGTAATTGGTATTTCTGGACCATTCTTTTCTCCTGAGCTCCAGACCCGTTTTCTCTAACTGCGTCCTGCACATCTTCACTCCACGTGACCCGTAGATTCCTTCAACTCCACATGCCCAAAACTGAACTCTTCCCCCTTTCCTGCTCCATATACTTTTCCTGCCGATCCCCTCTGCTCTGTGTCTCCAAGTCACAGCACCACCCTTTAGTCACCTGAGTTGTTCAAGTCAGGAACTTGGGTGTTAGCTCCACAATTCCTCTCCCCTCCAGGAAAGTTATTGTCTCCAACCACCCCTCAGTAGAGTAGGGTCATAGTTAAGCTGAGGTGTCCTTTGTGAAGCTTCTGGGCTCCCTCACATCTTCCAATCTGCATGGCTGGGGAGTTATCTCTACTCTTTGCCTTCTCCTTCTGTGCTTCTCCACTTGTCCTACACCCACCCTTCCCAAATAACACCCTCCATCTGCCTTAAGACTCCCTAACTCACTTTAGCTTAATTCAAGTTTGTCCCACCCAATAAAAAGTTCACACTCACTAGGGGCCCCAGTTGGCTGCTACTAGGCAAAAGGGTGCTAAATTTTTCAGTCCTTGAAAGTATACACTGCCTAAGGGGGTCCCAATAGTCATTTTGGTCTTTGACAGTCTTGGGAGTCAACCACAGATCAAGTAAAGCACCATTCAGCACAGAGAGACTGAAAACTAAAGGGTGACAGATGCAGACTGTGCCACAGTAAAGACCCTCCAGGGCCGGTTAATGATTTAATACTGTGTCTGGGCCTCATCAGCACCTTCCACCTCCACCTCCACCTCCACCTCCACCACCCAGGCTGTGGCAAGGCGGTTGGCTGCAGGGAGGGAGTTCTACTAAGAGCCAATAATCATGTGACCCTCTCAGCTGACAGTTTTCTGACAAGGTAGCCTTTCCCAGCAAAAGATCAAGCGATGAGTTAGCTAAAGTCCAGGCTAAGAACAGTAGTGCTCTTATGAGTACAATCTAATCATGATTCCTCTCCATACTATATCAAATCATAGCTACCTGGAGCTCACAAGTCCATTAATCACTGTTTAAAAACATTTTTTTTTTTTGCCATGTTACAGTTTTGAGATATCCCAGAAATAGCACAGAGAGTCACCTAAAAACATTAACACACTGCATGTACTGGATGCCAATTATCTTCCAATAAACTGAGGACTGGCTGATATTACAAAGGAATTTGATTCAACTCAATGCAAAAACCACAAATATAAAGCAGGTGGAAGGAGATTCTGTTTTCTAAATAAATGAATACACAAGCTACAGAATTTCAATTTTTATTTCAAAACCAAATTATTAGTGTTGACAATGATTACCTCCCTGATTTGAGGTTAGGAGTGGCATCCTTGACTTTTCAGCTATCCCTTTCTGCACTTTTGCACCATACTTTTGTTTTAAAGGGTGTACATATAAGTGACATCAATATGTTCTCCTTTAAAAACTATGAAATATTATATAGCTCTCCTGCGGGATGCCCACCCAACTCCCTTTACCGTCCTCAGAGGAAACATTTATCAGGCCTTTCCTAAGCATTTCATGCACGTATGTATACCAGGAAAATAGTTATTGTTTTACATTGTGTTCCTGTTGATATGTAAATGCACACATTTCATTGAACACCCTTGATATGTGTGATTATTTCTCTACAGTAGAAACTAGCACTTTTGGTTCTGAGGGTATGCAATTTTTACAATCTTTATTAGTAGATAATTCTGTACACTTGTTGCTTCCTTTGACATTTCCTCACACTCTGAAACAACAGTTGGCATCTTGTTATTTCCTTTGTGTGTGTTACTTTTATCTTCATCATCATAAACTAGTTTAAAACTTAAAGCTAGTTTATCCTTCCATGAGAAAATTTCACAGTTTGGCTTATGAAGCTTCCTTTCAGAATAAAAAAGGTTAGCAAAGCTGAATCAAAGATAAGCTATAACTCTCTTTTTCCTGGAATGTATATGTGATTGTATTGCCAACAGTCAGCAAAGATTCCTTGATAATTTAATGACCATTTTTATTTTCCTTCAGACTGCAAAACCTAATTCATACAGCATCTGAGTGCTGACTGTCAAATGAAATCACACGGTTAATGTTGGCAAAGTATCCTGTTTCTCTTCTAACTATAGCACTGAAGGAAAATGAAGTTATTTTTTCTGAGATGTATTATTGAGAAATCTCATCTATACCAAGAGGGCAAAGAGATGTACCTAACTGTGGGGCTCTCTAAGAACAAAGGAGTCACTCTTTTCTCCTGTACAGCGTCCTCCCTATTGTCGTACCCAGCTCACCAGTCTGCTCTCTGCACGATTCATTATCACCCATGTCCTCATATTGCTCCTCTCTGATTCCTTGGTACAATTCATCCTTGTTCCCAGTCAGGACACCCCATGGAAAAGGCATGCCCAATTTTTATTCCTTCCAAAAAAATTAGGGAAAAGCCTTAGAAAATATTATGGGCAACAAAAAAATCATGTAGCTAAATGTTGATTATATTATTGAGCAAATGAAATAGCTGCCCCACCTCAAGTTCTGCATTATCTTTGTGTCAAATTAGATTATAAGTAGAAATCATACATATAAGCACAGGTCTGTCTTCAGAATAGAAGTTAAGAAATTACCTAGATGTCCAAAAATAAGAAATTAGCCAAATTAGTTATGGCACACCCAGACAAAAATATTTAGTGAGATACATGTTTATAATGTACAATGTTATTATATTAAAAAAGCAAAATACAAAACCATATGTATAGAATTAACACCATTTTCATGTCATTATCATGTTTATATTTATATATGTAAAATATTTAAACATTTCTTTTAAAAAATCTGAAATAATCAGCATTAACTGAGTGCTGTAATTATGACTGATTTATTTCTTCCTCTTCACTTACTGTACTTTTATCATCAGACTTTAATGGTAATTTTAAAAATAGGAATTAAAAACTCACGAGCCAAGAACTCACAATAGTTCATAGCATGGAGACTGCTTTCGGCACTTAAGTCTGTAAAGCTTTTGATCTGATACATTCACATTACATAGGTACTCACAGGACTCATCTGAAGAGATATTGGGGAACATTTCACACTCTGAGTCAAGGACAACCGAGACGAGAAGTTGCTGCAAGTCTGTTTTACCATGAGATTTAATGGGGTGATGACGCCACTTCCGGAAACCAAAAATATAGTCATAATATCTGTGTGAGAAATAAATTCAAACATTTTAAACCACTGCGGCCAAGTTTTAAATACATATGCAGTAGCAGACATTGTAGTTGACCCCTCAAATCCATGCTACCCCACATTAGTCCACCTAGAGGCTCCTACCCCACACTGCACATTAGAATCACCTGGGGAGCTTTTTCAGAAACTGCTGCTGTCCAGACCTTCCAAATCAGAATCTTGGAGAGTAGGATCCCGGCATGGGAATTTTGAAAGTTACCCGCACACTCCCAGAAGACTCCTCTGAAGTCCCCATGAAGAACCAGCAGTGGTGCTGATCCAATCACTCTGGAGTGTAGAAGCCAATTCTGACCAGTGTTGGGGTGGGGGTGGGAGAGTAGTAGGAAGTGTCCTCGCCTAAATGAGCCACAAGGCGAACACTTTCCCTGTCTGTGAGACCTGGAGCAGATGCACCCGCACTAAAGATGGCTGAGCAGAGATGAAGGAATACCTGATTTCCTAATGATCCTGTTGAGCTTAGTCAGCTTGCCCTGAAATCTTCCCTGCTTTTGGACTTCCTGTTTTGTGAGACAATAGATTTTCTTATTGTTGAGCCAGTCTGAGTCACGGTTCCTGCGATCCTCCAACAAAAGCATCCTAGCTAATACACACACCTCCAAGAAACATTGCCAGACCACAGATTTCTCACTAGGGCCTTGAAAGCAATTGTTTAAATATTTTATAGATGTTGATTAGCCAGAGGTTGTATATGTTACTTGTGTAAGAATGTCTCGTGTTCTTCCAGAGCAGTAGGGAGAGGTAGGCGTGTTCTGATGAGTTTGGAAGGGCAGGGCAGTTAACCAGTGGGAGTGGACTGGGGGAAGGGGAACGAGGGAGGCAGTGGGATGAGGGCCCTCTTTACAGAAAAACCTCCACAGATTCAAAAGGAAGCTAAACTAGATCACTGAACTAGATCTATCCTTAAAAAAATGATTAAGATGGTAATCTTATGTGTCTTTTACCATATTAGGTGCTGGCTTGTCCCAAGTAAGGAAAATCTTGGCCCTGGATATTAAAACTCTAAAACAGACCCAGTGGGTTCTGAGGCAGTACCGTCCAAGGAACAGGCATACCTTGTTTTATTGTACTTCACAGATGGTGTGTGTTTTTACAAATTGACAGCAAGACCTTCCACCAGCATAAAGATTACGACTCACTATTGCTAGGCTTGCTTTATTTCTGTGGTTGGAACTGAACCCACAGTTTCTCTAAGGTATGCCTGTACCAGGGTTAATTCAGCATTTCAGGAAGTGAGAGAATCTATTTGTTCGTTTTTTAAAAAAAATGACTAGCATGTGATAGACCTTGTTCTAGAAGCTGAGGAAGCAGACTTGTACCAACTACCTCTCTGCCTGCAGAATGTGCACTGTTACAGTTTGTGACAGAAGCCGGGCTCTTGAGACAGGAGCCACACACGGGATTCTGAATGATCTGGGTCCCAGGTTGTAAGCGGTGTGTGTTCCCGACTGCCTGAAGCTTGGGACCAGCTCCATCATCTCTAAATCTTTCCAACCTCCTCATGCTTTTTCTTTGAAATGGGTACTGCCCCTCCTGACTGCTAGAACGCTCACCTGAATGCTTTCAAGTCTTAGCCATAGGGCTGTTTTACAACCTGCTTCCTAACAATGAAGCCTATAATTAATGGTTGCTTCACACCCAAGGCACAAATTAGTTCAGCAAACTCCAGATTACCTGCACTGCCTTGGAATGCCAAGCCTTGTTTTTAAACTATCTCACAGCTGATTCAAGTCCTGGTTATCTAACCATTAACTTGTCATCCATGCTTTCTTGCAGTACTCATATCACTTCAGCATACTACCAAGTTCTTGTTTTACTAGTGGTATGGCAAAGAAGGAAAATGCGATTTTAAAAACTGAGTCCCAAAGCAAATATAAAGAAAGGATAAGTGTGTGTTTGTTTTTCTTTAATCCTCACTTGAGAATGTGTTTGTTTTTTGTTGTTGTTGTTGTTTTTGTTTTTTGCTGGAGCGGTGAGGTGGAAGATGGGAAACATTGATCTGTTGCCTCCTTTATGTGACCCGACTGGGGATCAAACCCACAACCTAGGCATGGGCTCTGACTGGGGATCCACCAGAAACCTTTTGGTATTTGGGATGATGTTCCATCCATGAAGCCACCCAGCCAGGGCAAGTGTGTTTGTTTTTAAAAGACTGTCCATCCATGATCTTCCTTTACATCAGGGGTCCCTGATGCCAGTCACCGGCCCCTGGCCACTTAGGAACTGTGCCGCACAGCAGGTGAGTGGCGGGCCGGCGGGCCAAGCTCCTTTAGAGCCGCTGCCTGTCGCTCGCATCACCACCGGAGCTGCGCCTCCCGACAGACCAGCATTGGACTCTCACAGGAGAATCTATGTACTTGAATCATCTCAAAACCACCTCACCCTGGGTATATGGAAAATTTGTCTTCCACAAAACCAGTCCCTCGTGTCAAAAAGGTTGGGGACCGCTGCTTTAGATGACCTTCAGGTATTTTTTTCTTTCTCAATATCCTAAGGCAACCAACCACCTTGTTTTTACTTCTTTATCTGGACGCTAGCCATTTTGACCTCTTAGTAGGTTCAAAACCAAAGGCTTATCAGGATGTGTGTCTGAAATGAAGGTAACAGCATCCATTTAGCTGTACAGAGCTGAAGGGGAGAATGAGCCATCTCTGCTGTCAGCATCTCGGTCGGGCCTCTTCAGCCAGGGCCTTGGCCTGACGCCTGTCTGGGGCCAGCAGCTGTTTATTAAGCTAGTGTTGCATTTTTCACCAACTGTTTGGTGTCCTGCAGGTAAAATTAAGCTATTGATACCCACTGGGAACAGGGACAAACAAAACTGGGGAAGGCAGGGGTAGACAGCACAAACAAGACCAGATTACAGTCCTTCAGGGCACTAACTCACCTTCAGGACTGTCCCACCCACACAAGCCACAGTGAGGGAACAGCGTGTGGCGTGTTGAACTCTCTCCCCCAGTGTGATCTGCGCTGTCTGTGGCTAGCACGGCCGGGCTGTGGGCTGCTTCCCCTTCACACAGTTCACCCTGCCTGTGAGCTGCTAAACCACTAAAGAGAAGCTGGGAGAGTGAACATGTGACTGGTGTGGGGAAACAAAAAATTCTGAGTTGCACTAACCATTCCCAAGTAATTAGATGAAAAGGTAGGATATTTCACATGGAACAGAGATTTTGGAAGGGAAGGGGAGTTTTAGGCAATGTGCTCTAACCTAAGGACTTTCTGCCACCTGAATTGTTACCAGATTTGGGGGTGGCTGGTGAGACGGCCCACAAATGACAAGCAACTTTGGGGAATCCTTGGTCCTCAAGCTTTAAACAGTCATTTCCTCCTAGAACTCCATGTAAGAAGCTGCATTTCCCCTCCCTCCCCTGCTTCCATCCACCCTATTCTCCCGAGGCGAACGTAGCCCAGGATTCTGAGCAACCTACTCCCACTGAGTACCCGCACGCAAACCAGGGTTCCTGGGCGCCCAGGATTGCTCCTGAGGATGCAGGAGGGGAAGGGGAAGAACTGCGGTGTCGTTCCGTGTTTCGACCCAGCGCTGCCATCTTCTAGAGTCTAAAGACCTCTGATTTTAGTCACGTCACTAACCAGCTCGGAGACTGGTTCCTCGTCTGTCAAATGGGGCTAACACGCTGGCGTGGCTGCGTGGCTGTGCAGGTGCTAAGAGGCGTCCAGGTATTCCTCCCCCTCGCAGCTGCGCCTGCACCGCGTCCCAGGGTGGCGCGCCCCGGGGTCCTGGGGTCCCCGGGCCCCCTTCCCGCTCGGCCGCCAGGCAGGACCACTCACCGCCTAAACGCTTCCTGAAGGAGGGCGCAGGAAGGGCCGGCCTTGGAAGAGGGGTCGTGGGTGATGTGGAAGTTCTCGGGGGAGAGGTACAGCAGGCTCGAGGTCATCTGCACCGAGAGCGGCATGGGCCACAGAGCCGGACCCTGCGCGGCGAAGGCGCTGGGGACCTGCTCGGACAGCACCGCCAGCGCCGCTAGAGCTGCCAGCAGCCCGCGCAGCTCCATGGCCCCTAAGGTGCTCTCAGCCTCGGCCCACCCGAGTCTGCCCCGGCTGCACTAGACTGCCTGCCTCCGCGCAGGAGGAAGCAGCTCGACATCTGAGTCATCGAGTCACCTGACCGTGCGCCCCGCCCCAACCCCGCCCCGAGGAGGGTGGGACCCAGGAGACTGCTGCTCCTGCCGCTGCCACCGCCGCCTTTCCACCCAGCGCAACTCTGGACCCCTGCGGCTTGGGTGCAAGTTCTCGCCCCGGTTCACAGAGCCTCAGGGGAACGGCAGAACTCAAGCCAAGAAACACCGCGTTTATCCCATCCCCCCAAACATCAGATCACTGAGGTGGTGATTTCGTTTATTTGTCCCTAAATCTAGGCTTTGCTATAATGGCAATGCATCTTTAATTAATAGAACTCCCAAGGTCAGAGTTTTGAACAGGTGGGAGGTTGTAAATTATGCAGAGGGTATTCCGTGAGAGAGTATCTTGGGGGCGAGGCAGGAGGCTGGGGGCGGGGGTGGGGTGCAGGTAGAGGACTGCTTAGAACTTCGAAAGGACACCAACGACCAAATTCATAGGCAAATGATACAAAAAAGGGAATATATTTGTAATGAGGGATTAACACTGTCAGTATAATTTTCCAAAAAAGTTAGAACATGACCCTATTACAAAATAGAATGAAAACCTGTCAACGATTTTATTCAATTCGTTAATTAGGCAATTATTATAATGATAAGTCTGGTTTAAAGGCAATTTAATAAAGCACTGTTAGAATAAGATGGCTAACGAGTTAAAAACTGTAGTTTGGCAGAGTGGACTCAGCTCTATGTATCTGTGTCTGGGCACTCACATCCCCACTCCAGAGAAAAGAAATTCTGTTTATAATGAAATCCCAAGAGCAACTTAAATATTAATTTGTGGCAGGCCTCTCTCTATATAACTTGGATATAAGTAGATTTATAATTTGGATATAAGTAGATTTGTAAGCAAGCAGAAACAATGTCATTGACTCAAATGTGGCAGGGATTCAAAAGTTCTCTTTCTTTCCCCCTCCCCCCTTCCCTTCCCTTTCCTCTCCGTATTATCTCCATCTTTCAACTCAGGATTTTGTTTGTTTGTTTGTTTTTTGTTTTGTATTGGCTTCATTCTCTCCCAGACAGGCTCTCTCTTCATTATGGTACCCGGGTATCAAGGACAACCCCTCAAGAAAGCTCTGTTCTCCAGTCGTCCCTGTCCGTCCCGGTACCGGTTCCCGATGGGCAAGCTGGATTCCACACCCGCCCCGAGGGCGGAGCCAGGGAAGTCTCAGGACCCTCCTGAACCGGAGAGCCCGGCCTCCCCGGAGGGAGAGGTGTTCTTCCCAAGAAAGGGTAACGGGTGTTGGGCCAAAACCGCAGATCTACTGCCGTTAGTATTCTGAAAATGGTGATGAAAAGCTGCAAGATAAAACTTCGGAGAAACTTTATGGGGCACGCTTCAAGTTCTAAAAAGCAAGCCTCCGTGTCATACTATTCTTCCTTCTTCATGTAATTAGCGTGCTATTTGCAGTATCCTCTGCTGCCACTTTTTATTAATTGAAGCCTAATGCAGCACAGTGTTTCCAAGAGTCAATCTTCAATTCATATTGTTGAAATTACCATGTTAAATGATGACTTCTTGTGTGTTAGTTACTGACTGCTATGGAAAAAATTACTCCAAAATGTAGGAGCTTAAAACAACAGCTAATAAATTATAAGATAATCAATATCACATTTCCTGTGGATCAGGGATTCAGGAGTTTTAGCTGGGTGATTCTGACTCAGTCTCTCAAGAGATTGGGTAATGGGGTGCAGAGTGGGAGTCCCTGAAAATAGCAGAGCATATTCCCCACAAACCTTAATTGGGGGGAAGGGAAGAGTGGACGATACAGCATTTAAGATACTTTCATAACAATGGCAAGTTAATAGCTGTGCTGCCACCCAGGGCAAAGGTGTATGTGACTTTAAGAATGTCTAGTGACCTCTGACATAGCCAGGGGAGGCCGATGCCTGTGTGTCACAGAAAACTCTTGCCCTGACTAAAGATGGCGGCCAAAAGAAGGTGAAAGAGAATGGGGAACTGGCAAAAGTAACACATCGTAGGAAGGGCTGGATATGAGGTTATGTAGGAATTTCCAGGCCGAGCATTTAAAATAAGGGCAGGCTGAAAGAGAAAGGGATTCCGCCATGACGTCTGAAAGAGATGGGAAAGAAGCCATGCAGGAGGAAAGGGTGTAAGGAGAGAGCTGATGGAGCTGTGTAGGGACCTGCCTAACCAAGCACGGATTCGTGAGATGCTTAGAGCCACACTGGGACTGGGAACGCTGAGTTGCAGACTTCTGCTTCTCTGAAGGTTGTTTGGAGTAGTGACTCTCCTGGGATGTGTGCGTCTCTGGACTCCGCCATGATCCAGTGTAACATGGCACATGTTTCCTTGAACCACTACATGGAGGCTGAGAACAACACATCCTGGATGCTGAGGGGGGAGAGCAACTGCGAGAGGATGGCGACTGTGAGACCCACAAGGGCACATTCCAGGGGGTTTGGAGGCCTGTTTGTGTGGCTAGCTTAAGGTCAGATAATGATATGGGGAACTTCTGGGCATGGTTTTGGTTCGTGGCCTTTTGAGGAGCAAGGGAAGTGCAGGGTCTCATGGGAGAGGAGGGCTCTGATGAGTGTTCCCAGCCCCCCTGAGATTGGAACCCTGTAAGTAAAAACCCGTTTCCTTCAACACTAATTGTTGGGTCATGTATCAAGGTGCCACGTGGCTGAGCCGCAGTTTGCTTGGTGATGGTTTCAGTCATTTTTTTTGAAAGCCTAGATGATGCCAGAGGGTCTGATCTAAGGTAACATATCTCTATTGGCAAGAGACCTGAGTTTTTTTGTGAAGCCCTCAGTTACTTGGCATATGTGCCTCTCCTCAGAACTTGTGGATACTCACAACAGGGCAGCTGGCTTTCCTGAGAGAGAGAGAGAATAGAGTCCACAAAAGAGGAAGAAACCTGGACGTCTTTATCACTCAATCTTGTTAGGGACACTTCTGCCTTAGCGACACTTCCTCTGCCTGCCTTTATCCATTAAAAACAGTTACCACATACAACCCACGTTCAAGGGGAGAAAAAATAGGCTTCATCTTTTGAAGGGAAGAGTCCACTCTCTGACCACAAATTATTTATATTCCTCCCACATGCAAAATACATTTCCTTCCTCTCAAAAACTCCAAAGTCTCATCTCTTTAGAACACTGGCTTGAAATCCAGAATGCTGGCATCTAGATTAGCTCTTGGTATCCTCCAGTAGGGTTCTCCTAATCTGAAGACCTGTGAATGAAGAGACAAGTTACTTGCCCCCACACTTGTAAAATATGGCATGAAACAGACATAGGATAACTACTACAGTCAGTTCCATTCAAAAGAGGTGTGGAAGGGTTTGTAGCAATTCCAGAACCTAGCCAGGCCAACGTTAGAAGTTCCTTGATTAGGTTACAAAGCCTGAAAATAATCTCTATGGCTCTCTGGGCTTTTGGTTCTTCCTCTGATTCATCTTTCCTTTTTCGTGAAAAGTAATATGTGTTTGGAGCAGAGTAGATTTCTCAGTCTGCTTTCTACCTGTAGAACTTTGGGGGTGCGAAGACATTTTTAAATTTGGTACTATATCTCTCTTGGTTCAAACTAGCAGTGTTGCTGTGAATATAATTCTGTTAAAAACTGTTGACTCTGTGTATCTCACTGAAGTTCATGCCACTAGACAAAAACCATACCCACCTGTCCCTTCAAGATATGCCCTTCTCTACCTCGGGCTTCGGCCGAGGGATAACACCATAGAAACCCTTTAGTTTAATTGCAAGGATCTGTCAGGCACACCCTTAAAATATTCAGTTGACCTGTCTCATTGGCAGATACTCCGAAGCAACACAATAGATCTTCCTGGGGTCTTAAGGGATTTTACAATCACAACCTTGGTTTCATGTTTAGACTATGTTTTCCTGAGAGTGCCTGGACTTGATCTTTGCCTGAAAGCCAAGTCTTCATTTTAGTGTCATTAGCTGCCTACAGTGTCTGGAAATTTTGTAAAAACAATCATGTCATGGCTCCTTTGTGGTGAACAGTCCTTCCTTTTGCTTATCTTGCTCTTTTCACATTTTAAAAGAGCGGAAAGATGAAGGTAGGAGGCACCTGGAACCCTCTAGCTGGAAATCCTAGGTAGACTGCCCACTTACTAGGTAGGCACAGCTCCTACTTTCCGTGTTGCTGTAGGCCATCGTGTGGCTAATATTTCTGCTGTGACATTACAGGGATCTTGTACCCTCCAGTTTCCAGTGAGACTTGCCTCACTGTTCTTTAAGGGAGCTTCCTCAAGTTAATGCTTCTGCAGTTTTCAAGGCGCTTTATACTCTCACTAACACTGTCTTTGGAGTCATTGCAGCTTTTATTGCCTAATGCCAAAGTCACAGCCACTTTTGAGGTGCTTGTTAGGGCAGCACCCCACTTCTGGATATCAAAATTGGTATTTATTATCTATTGGTGTGTAACAATTGACAAACATAAAGGATGTGTACAATTAAAATGTTGATAGGTAGTGCCAAATTTCCCTCCAAAATCAGTAAAAGTGTATGAATGTCCATTCCTCATAACCTCACCTCACAAATATTATTAGTCTTTTTAAATTTGGTAGGGTGTTTTAATTTGTACTTAACTATTTCTGAGGTTGAATAAAATGACCATTTTATATCTTCTAGTGAGAGCCTCTTTATATCTTTTTGGTTGTTTTCTTTCTCTAATGACTTGTATGGGTGATTTGAAAATTATAGATAATAATCTGTCCTGTATATTGCAAATATTTTCTCCTAGGCCATCGATTTTCTTTTATTTACATAATATTTTATCTTGCAGTGGTTTTAACTTCTTTTGAGATCTAATTTGTCAATCTTCCTTCTATGGCTTCAAGATTTATCTTGATTAGGATTCAATTATAATAAAAATTCTCCTTTTTATCTAACCTCTTTATAGTTTTACTTTTGAGTTGCATGCTTTACTCCAGCTGAGGTTTATTTTTGTGCATAGTTAAGGTAAGGCTGCGAGGAAAG